AGACTTAACTACTCCTTTTTTTTTCTTTCTTTCCTTTGCTAGCTGGGCTATTTGCTTTCCTTATATGTAAAGGAGATCAGTATTATTTATGAGCCACTAGAATCACTGAGAGACAAGGATGGTACTGCGAAGCTTAAAACCTCAATAATAAATTGTGGGTTTAAGAACATCATCAAACTTGGGAGGGGTAATTGGAATTGCTCCTAAACAGAGAGTAGTCTATATACAGACTAAGTCTATAGTTAGAGTAGGTGTTTAGTAAATACTTACTAAATGAATGATTAAGTTCATTATTTAATACAAGAATATTTTATTGATAGGTTCTTTCTTTGTAAAAAGATTTTTAAAAGTAGTCTATTTTTAGGGCAGTTTTAGGTTTGAGCAGAAGATTATCTCTTTTTTAAAGGTTACTTTGCATTCCTTTTTTTTATTTAAATATTTCATTTATTTATTTGATGGACAGAGATCACAAGTAGGCAGAGAGGCAGGCAGAGAGAGGGGGAAGCAGACTCCCCGCTGAGAAGAGAGCCCACTTCGGGCTGGATCCCAGGACCCTGGGATCATGACCCTAGCCGAAGGCAGAGGCTTAACCCGCTGAGCCACCCAGGCGCCCCGTGATGCTAGTTTTGATACTTACTACCCTTGTGAGGATTAAATGGAAAATAGAGTAAATGGATTCCGTAAGATTTGTACTAGTCATTAAAGGAGGAAGCTAAATAGTACTGTCCTGGGATCAAATTATCAGGGGTCAGATGTCACCTTGGCTAGGTTTGTAACTCTGGGCAAGTTATTCTTCTAAGATTCAGTTTCTTCAACTATAAAGTGTTGACAGTGGGAACACCTGGACTATACCAAAAGAAAAAGCTTTTGCACAGTGAAGGAAACAGTCAGCAAAATGAAAAGGCAACCTACTAAATGAGAGAAGATAATCACAAACGATATATCTGATAAGGGGTTAATGTCTAAAATATATAAGGAACTTATATGATTCAACACTCCCCCAAAATAAGTAATCCAATTAAAAAAATGGGCAGAGGACCTGAACAGACATTTTTCCAAAGAAGACACAGATGGCCAACAGACACATGGAGAGATGCTCAACACCAGTAATCATTAGGGCAACACAAATCAAAACTACAATGAGACTTCACTTTATATCTGTGAGAATGGTTAGAATAAAAAAAGACAAGAAATTAGGGGTGCCTGGGTGGCTCAGTAGGTTAAAGCCTCTGTCTTCAGCTCAGATCATGATCTCGGGGTCCTGGGATCGAGCCCCACATTGGGCGCTCCCTGCTTAGCAGGGAGCCTGCTTCCCCCCCCCACCTCTGCCTGCCTCCCTATCTACTTGTAATCTCTCTCTGTCAAATAAATAAATAAAATCTTAAAAAAAAAAAAAGACAAGAAATAACAAGTGTTGGTGAGGATATGGGGAAAAAAAGGAACTCTCATGCACTGTTGGTGGGAATATAAATTGGTGCAGCCACTGTGGAAAACAGTGTGGAGGTTCCTTAAAAAATGAAAAATAGAGGGTGCCTGGGCGGCTCAGTTGTTTAAGTGATTGCCTTTGGCTCAGGTCATGATCCTGGAGTCCCAGGATCGAGTCCTGCATCAGGCTCCCTGCTTGGCGGGGAGTCTGCTTCTCCCTCTGACCCTCCCCCTTCTCATGCTCTCTCTATCTCTCTTAAATAAATAAATAAAATCTTTTAAAAAAATTAAAAATAGGAATACCATATGGTCCACTAATTCCACTACTGGCTATTTACCTGCAAAATGAAAACATGAATTTGAAAAGATAAATGCACCTCTGTGTTTATTGCAGTATTATCTACAGTAGTCAAGATTTAGAAGCAACTGAAGTGTTCATTAATAGATGAATGGGTAAAGAAGATTCTCCCTCTCTTTCTCTCCTCCCCCCTCTGGAATATTACTCAGACATTAAAAATGATGAGCTCTTACTGTTTTTGACAATAAGGATGGACCTAGAGGGTCTGATGCTAAATTAATTAAGTCAGAGAAAGACAAATACCATATAAGCTCACTTATGTATGAAGTCTAAAAAAACCAATGAATAAACAAAAAGCAGAAATAGACTTATGAATACACAGAGCATACTGATGTTTCCCAGAGGGGAGAGAGTGAGGAATGGATAAAATGGATGAAGCTGAGTGGGAAGATACAGGTTTCCAGTTTATGGAATGAATAAGTAATGGAGATAAAAGGTACATCATAGGGAATATAGTCAATGGTATTATAATAGATTGTACAGTAACAGATGGTAGGTACACTTGAGGTGAACATAGCATAACGTATACTTTATGGTCTGAGAAAATCTGTGCCTTTTAAACCTCAGAGGGCAGGTGTATTAACAAACTACAGAATTTTCAAATAAATGAAGAATTCCATTACCTCACTTTTGCTGTTGATGAATTGGCCTCTGACGACATGTAAGCATCAAAACTCACTCTTTTCAGGTGAGAGGCTGACATGAGCGACTTGATTAACTTTTAAGAAAAATCTTATGAAAAAGGACTGTTGAACTTTCTCCGTCCAGTTTATTTCTGCTTTGCAGTATATCCTATGTCATACGAAGTAGTCAAATCTTTTTCCATGACCTGTTTTTATTGTTACAAAGTGTTATTTCTTAGGCACCAACTGGGTTCAGAGGTTACAAATTTAAAATCACAGCATCCCCAAATCTCATGGTTGGAAGGGATTGTTAAAGACCACGTAGTCAGTCTCTTAGCTGAGTTGTCACAAAGTGTTTACCCTTCAGAAGTAGGCAAATTCTTTACATCTTGGGCTTATTCATTCCATTATTCGAATCTTCAGAAACTCTCCTGTTAGAAAGTTATTTCTTTCACTGTTCAGTGTTGAGGAATTCTTTCTCCCTCTGTGGCTTACCCATTGGTTCTGATTCTAACTCTTGGACAAATAGTCCAATCTCTCGTCTACAATATTTAAGGCAACTCTCTTGTTTTTCTCCAGGCTACATGTCTTCTGATCATTCATCTCATCCTCTTGTTTCTTAAAATATAACGTTTAAAACTATGGACAGCATTCTAAGCATTCTAAGAGTCTGACCTGTGCTGAATGGAACAAAAATTTCACTTTGAAGATATTATGTTTCCAATACTATATCTAAAATCATGTTAATATGGGGGGCAACCTCATCATCACCTTGACTTCTTTTGAAGTTAATTGTCAGCTTAAGCCTATACGGCTTTTTCACACATAGATGGGCATGACTCACCTATCCTGTACCAGTACCAGTTCTTTAAGACTCAAGTGCAAGACCTTAGGTTTACCTCTGTTCAAATTCATTCTATTATATTCAGCCCATTGAAACAGTCTGTTGAAGTATTTTTGGCTTATGGTTGGGTCATCCAGCATATTTGTCTTCTTGCCCAGCTTCTTGTCATCTGCAGATTTGATAAGTATGTGTTCTTTTCTCCTTCTTAGTCGTTAACAGAGATGTTGAGGCAGGCCAGGCTGGAATCATTCCATTGTACCATACTATTGCTGTCGAGTTTTAATGGGCAGGATTAGATCCAATATGCCATAATTATAGCAGGAAATGTCTTTTGGTGAGTAGTCCTATTATAGCCACCTAAAAACTATTAAATGAAAGATAATAGAAATAAGGATGCTCATTAAGAGTGAGATAAGGAACTAGTTTGAAAAGTTAATGGCCCTGTTTGTATTTTTACACATAGTTAAGTATAATATGTGTTTACTAATTAATAAAATATAATACAATTCTTAGATTCTTATGGAAGACCTTAAGCAGAGACCCTTATGGACCGATTAGAGGCAATGTGGTATAGGAGAGGAAGCCCAAACGAACCCTGAGATGTTTTATTCACTTATTTTTTTTGTTTTTATTCACTTACTTGTTTAGCAAATAAGTATTAAATGCCTACTATTCTTAAGCCCTGGATATACAATGGTTATTAAAAAATAAACAAAACCCAAAACAGCCCAGGGGTTTAAAGACTGCCTGTGGCTTGGGTCATGATCCCAGGATCCTGGGATCGAGCCCTACATCGGGCTCTCTGCTCAGTGGGGAGCCTGCTTCCCTTCCTCTCTCTGCCTGCCTCTCTTTCTGCTTGCGATCTCTGTCTGTCAAATAAATAAGTAAATAAAATCTTAAAAAAAAAACAACAGCCCATACTTGATCTTTGCCTTCAGTGGAACTTATATGCTAATGGGGGATACGTTTTGATAATTACGTAGGTGAAATCATAGTACTTTCTGTGATCAGTGTTCTAAATAGGTACTGTCAAACAAACAATGCAACTCATATATTGAATTTAAAAGTTTCTAGTAGCTCCATTTAAAAAAGTAAAAAGAAGATAATGAAATTTATTTTAATAATTGGTTTTATTTAACTCAGTATATCTGAAATAATATTTCAACATGTAAGCAGTATAAAAAATTTGAGGTATTTGTATTCTTTTTGTTGAACTAAATCTTTGAAATCTTAAACTTAGGCTACATGTCAGTTGGAACTAGTCACATTTTAAGTGCTCAATAGCCACATGTAGCTAGTAGCTTCTGCGTTGGACAGCACAGCACTGTGCCCATCTTTACAGACTACTTGGTGGTGTTGGGCAAATTACTTTCCTTGTGTAGGGCTTCTGTTTTTATTCAGTAAAATGAAAGATTTTGACTTGCTTATCTTCTAACAACTAAATGTGGGTCACTTGCATGTATGAGAGCACCTTCTGAGGTGCTCTGAATAATCTCATTATCTTGATCTGGGTGCTGCTTATATGTATATAATATATAATACGTAATTTCTCAGGCTATACACTAAAGATTTATGTACTTTATAGTATTTATGTTATATCTCAATGAATGTTTTTTTAAATAAGATCACTTACAGTTTTTAAATTCTGTGTTCTTTCCTGAAATTACTCAGATGAGCTGACCTTCAGTCTAAATGTATGATATAAAGAATGCAAACAGCCAGTTACTCTTTATATCTTCTTCCCACCCAGGATGTGTCTAGTCCGAATGAAGCAGGAAGGCCGGAGTGGGAAATACATGTGTCGGATCATAGTTCATTTTATGTGGGAGGATGTTGAGCAGCGTGGCAGAGTCATGGGGGTAAGTGAAATGCTATCAGATTCTGGTCCTGGAAAACTCCAGTGAGAGATTGCCTGACTTGACGTTTTATATGTTCTAGAATGGCTTTGCTTTTAGATTTCTGTGTAATGCTGCCTAATGTCAGGTCGTAATTCAGCTAGAGTTGCTTCTGCCTCTGTGGAGACTGACATGCCATGGAGACTTTGTGTTTGCACACATTATTATGGTTTGTCCGTGTGAGGACATCCTGTGTATGTGTATGGGTATGGAATTATTACGCCCAAATAATGGTGGTAAGAGGGATGGATTTGTTGAATGGAGGAAATCAAATAATTGAGCTTTAGGACGCTATGCCTTTGACACCAATTCAGTCTTTGAACCAGTCCTCCTCTAAATTTGTTCTGATGGAAATACCCTGGCATCGGGCCTGCACTGTCCTCAGGAACTGAAAAACAAGCGCCTTGATCACTAACAACCTAGAATAATTTGGCAGGGTGTTCACTGAAGATGTACATTAGTACATTTAACAATTAACCTGAGAAAGGGGGATAGTGTGTCTGTGTGTGTGTGTGTGTATAAACCATAGAGTGTAGGAAATGGAACCATAACATTAGAATAAGGTTGTTGATATAAATAGTAATCTCTTCCTTTGGGTATATTGTATATTTTTGTGTCTAGACCATATTTTATTAGATTGTAATCCTTGTTTTTTTCCATCTCATTGCCTCCCAGTTTAGGATTGACTAAAGCAGATGGGGTCACAAAATGGGTTAATTTGTTTTTTTTTATCATTAAAATGTTCTCCCTACGGACTGAGGAGTAAACAGAGTTTATATATGTATTATAAAAGTCGTACACATTCATAGAGTAAAAATCAAACAGTAAAAAGTATTTAATGTAAAGACAAGTGTCCTTTCCCCATTCCAACCCTCCAAAAGTAACCATTGTTAAGAGTTGATGTGTATCCTTCTAGTTGTTTCTTAGATAAATGCAAATTATAAATAACACAAATGGGCTTAACCATACACAGTTTTGCATCTTGGCTTTTTATCTTGATACGTATTAGATATGGGTTTTTTTTTTTTTTTAAGATTTTTTTTAATGTAATCTCTGTACCCAGTGTGGGGCTCAAACTTGGGACCCTGTGATCAAGAGTTGCTCCAATGATTGAGCCAGCCAGGTGTTCCTATATTAGATATGTTTTTACTTTACAATTGTTTTTATTTTTATTTATTTTTTTTGAGGGCCATGAAGTATTTTTTTTTTTAAATTAACATTAGTGTATTATTTGCCCCAGGGGTGCAGGTCTGTGAATCATCAGGCTTACACATTTCACGGCACTCACCATAGCATATACCCTTCCCAAAGTTCATAACCCAGCCACCCTATCCCTACTCCCCTCACCCCCCGAGGTGCCCTCAGTTTGTTTCGTGAGATTAAGAGTCTCTTATGGTTTGTCTCCCTCCCCAGTCCCATCTTGTTTCATTTTTTCCCTCCCTAACTCCACAGCCTCCTGCCCTGCCTCTCAAATTCCTCATATCAGAGAGATCATATGATAATTGTCTTTCTCTGGTTGACTTACTTCGCTCAGCATAATACCCTCTAGTTCTATCCACGTCATTGCAAATGGCAAGATTTCGAGGGTTTTGATGGCTGCATAGTATTCCATTATATGTATATGTCTGTGTATATATATATATATATATATACACACATATGTATATATACAGCACATCTTTATCCATTCATCTGTTGATGGACATCTAGGTTCTTTCCATAGTTTGGCTATTGTGGACATTGCTGCTATAAACATTCGGGTGCACGTGTCCCTTCGGATCACTACATTTGTATCTTTAGGGTAAATACCCAGTAGTGTGATTGCTGGGTTGTAAGGTAGATCTATTTTCAACTTTTTGAGGAACCTCCATACTTAAAATTGTTTTTAAAATTCAAATGTTTTAACTAAAACTGCAATTCCTTTAATCATCATTCATTCCTGGAAGAAGGTAATTACTGTTTCCACTTGCTGTATATTTTTTAAGGCTTTCTTCTCTGTTATCTACAGAAAATATATAATATTGGTTTTGTGTCTATTTGATTATACCTGATATCATCCTCTGTGTACTAATATGCAATTAATATGTACTTAATTTTTTTTCACTCAACAATATGTCGTGGAGAATTTTTCCCGTGCTGCTTGGGAATTAAGTGGGAGGTCGTCCCCTATCTTGTATTTATTGTAATTATTTTCACATACTCTTATATCATCGTCTAATGGTATAATGTGCTTAATTACTCTGTTTGTAAAATTGTGGTCTTTGAGGCTGAATCATGGAGATGATGGTTTCTTACTGAGAGGGTATTTCCAAATTCTCATGTCTTTGGAGGAACTGCATGTATAGGAAGCACAGTGGACATCCGTTTGTTTTAAGACGTCTCCAGGGACACTTACATGTCTTTCTCTGGGACAGTAGACCATTGGTGTTTCTGTTCATTCTAAGAAGAGGATAGCATATGTCAGAGTTTTAGCTGCTATCATCATCATCATCATTTGTTTCAGAGTCAGTGAGTACTGACTGTCTTTGGAAGTGTGTTTTTTTGTTCATTTTTTTTCACTATCAGACCTTTCTGCTGTCTTTGCTACCCAGAGTGGATCAGCAGCCTTGAAGCTATTCCTGTAGCTAAGTGTTCCACGTGCCCTCACGTACTTACTGTCCATCCCTGTGGCAGCACCCAATCACTTAATGATAACCAGTGACACCCCCTGGCCAGCCAAAGCCTTGGCTGACTTGCCATGACACAGTAGCTTTTCTAATTATTTAGCCTGTTTTTTCTTGTCACTATTGACTAAACTTGCCTAGATGTTAGACTGCTAGAGCCACGTGGGCCACATGGCTTAGTGAGCCATAGGTTACTGATTCTTGAACTACGGGAACATTTTAGTTATTACCCCTCCTCCACCATCAGTTTCCTTTGGACCTCCATAAATATCTCCATCACAATCTCCAGCACTTTGAACCTTCTGTGTTACTTTATAATGTTACTTCCACTTGACTGCATGCTTTATAAAGGCAGGAGACCTGTCTTTTTTTTTTTTTTTTAAGATTTTATTTATTTATTTGACAGACAGAGATCACAAGTAGGCAGAGAGGCAGGCAGAGAGAGAGAGGGGAAAGCAGGCTCCCTGCTGAGCAGAGAGCCCGATGCGGGGGATGCAGGGCTCGATGCTGGGCTTGATGCGGGTCTTGATCCCAGGACCCCGGAATCACGACCTGAGCCGAAGGCAGAGGCTTTAACCCACTGAGCTGCCCAGGTGCCCCAGGAGACCTGTCTTAATCACACGTTTTTGCTTACATAGGAAATATTGGATGAATAAATACTTGTTGAATGAATAAACTAATTTCAGCTTCTGAAATTTTATTTTAAAGCCCACTTATCAGATAGATGATGCTTGATTTATTTGTTTGTAGTCCATGTGTACATCAGTACAGCCCTGTGGGAATTAGTTTTTCCTTTTTTTTTTTCCCCTCCATTTTATCCGACCATTTTTCTTTTAAATTTTGTTAGATATGATGTCCTATTGAGAAGTGTGTTAGATCGGTGTTTCTCACACTTTATTGTGCCTGTGGTCCACCTGGGGAATCTTGTTAAAATGCAAATTCTGATTCAGTAGGTTGGGGTGGAGCCAGAGTCTACATTTCTAGAAAGCTTCAGGTGATGCCAGCACCATAGGTGGAGCAGGGTAAGGATGGGGTAGCCACACTTTGAATAACAAGGTTTTAGACGATCCATAATACTCCCCAAGTACAGACTTGTAAATTCACCTGCATGAAGAGAAATGCCAAGCCCAGTGTAGTTACAAAGACTATAAATAAAAGATGATGATTTAAAAATAACAGACGTTTGAAAGAGTTGGGGAGTTACCAGTACTGCTTTTCTATTATAATTGACTTGGTTCCCCTGCACCCCCTTTCCAAACTCATGGTAGACACCCTTTATACAGGCAAGAAAATTATATTTTCACCACTTTTGTTTTGTGGTTGTGTGTGTAGAGTGTGATTGTGTGTGTAGAGGGGTTCTCAGTCTTCTGTGTGTGTACAGCCTAAAGAAATGGGAAAGTTAGAGACATGCGGCTGGGGAAAGTAGTAGGGAGCCAGTCTGGCCTGGTTCTGACCCTGGCTGCCACGTCTCTCCTCCTCTGTGCTTCAGTTTCTTTAAAAAAAAAAATGGGAGTTATTGGGGTGCCTCAGAAAATCTGACTAGAAGGTGGTAATTTGTAAATCTGTCTCTGTGTAATTTGGCATCCCAGGTGTACATCTTTAAGAAAACTCATATAAAGAGTAGAATTTATAAGACTGATCAATGTAGTGGTGATCTTTTTCATGCCAAAGAATTCTTAGAGGCAATTACTTTGAGTGGAACCACTTGTGAATTAATGATGAATCAGAAATTTGATTCAAGAACTCCTTTGAAATTAGAACTGCAGTCTCATTTGGTGGGGAAATTTTTATTAAAAATTTTTTGCTTTTTATCAGCTTTTTAGGAGCCCAACTATTGTGAAAAACAAGGCAGACTCATATATCATTAGTGAAGCTGGTATAAAATGCGAGTGTTAAATTTGAGGTTACAAAAATCACATCAATAATTTAGAGCGTTCTGACTTTTAAAAAAAACATTATTTGGGATTTAAACATATAAATTAGCTGTGGAAATAAAGTTCATTATATCACCTCATCTGGTCTTGTTTTATTTCATTAACTGGTTCTTAAAAACCTTTGTGAGCTGAGTTGCAGCTGAAGAGGTTGGAGACCATTTTTCCTTGGGCCCTTGCCTCACTCCTGAGTGTTGCTAAGAGTAGAGAACTAAGACTTGACACAGCTGTAAAAACAGACAGCGCCTTTGGCCTCAGTGCTTTCTCTTGGTGCAGGCACATTTCAGATGTAAATTTCACTTTCTGCCTCTCCTACTAATGAAGTAAGTTTCTTTTGCTGGGTTTGCAGCCAGGTGTGTCCAGTCTTGTG